AAAATTTGGGAAGTGAGGGGGGGCTTGAGTCCACCCTAGCCCTTGGGTGGACTCGCCCCTGTATATATATATATATAATTATGACTCGTAGGATCATAGTATTAACCTTAATATATAACATTTCATGTCAAGAAAATATTTTATAAATAAACTATATTGGCATGGTAATGTACATATGTGGAAATTAAAGCAAAACTGATGGATTTTTGGATGTTCAAGGTCTTTTGTACATTGAACTATATATTTATTTAAAGTTTTAAAATTTTGTCAGTATTATTCTTTAAACTTTTTATTATTTTGGATATTCAGATAAAATATACTTTTATTTTTTTTAAAGATAAAAGGTCATTGAGAATAAAAACATAATCACCAGATTTGAGGGTGGGACAATTGAGCCTGCAAAAATTTGTGTTAGGAGAATTTTTCCTGTTATAGAAGCAAGTGATATACTGCACGAATGGGGCTATATATTCATTTTTTGTTATTATAATCTTTTCGAAATAGAAAAAAAAAATAATGAAAGTTTGAGGAGATTAACTAAAATTACTATTTATATAAATTTAAAAGTGTTCAAAATTATATCTAATAATTGGATATGATGATGTCATGCTGATGTAGTTGGTCTTGACAATTATTCCACTTGCAAAGAACACCCCCATAGTTTTTACCTAAAAGAAACACAGTAGTAATTCTCTTTACATATTCCAGAATTATACATCATTAAAAAAAAATTAGAGAAAATAATTTATATAAATTACCTAGTTTGTATGAACAAAAAATCCATATCAAAATATTAACCCTAATTTCCTTCAGTACACAACAGCAGCTACTTTTCAGCATTACATCATCAATGGCTGAAAATAAGTTTAACAAAGCTCCACCATGAATTTACCATATTACCCTTTCCACCGAGAATTACATTGGTCAGCTCTTAAACCTCAGACTCAATATCAAGACTTGTTTCAACCCTCGTCGTCTCTATTTCATCGACAGGCTTCAAACCACACTCGAGTCGCATGGCTGATATGAGCTCCGGCGAAATGAGTGGTCGAGTTTTTACCTCTTTATTCGTCGAGTCGTATTTAAAATCTTGATTCTGTCTCATATTAGATTCAGAATCTGTATCGAACCCCCAACCTCTGTAGAGTATCACTTTGCTAGGTTCTTGAGACACAAGAACAGCACCCGTGGATTGCTGAGAGAAACGAGATTAATAGAAAAAAAAATAGTTTTAAAAAACTTCATAATCTTAAGTTAATATAAGAAAAAAATTTAAAAATCCGAAAATAAAATACAGACCTCCAGATTGTAAATCACCTCCTGAGCTGATGTCCCTTTTGCTCTGCCTTTGATATTCACTATGGCTAATGGATGCTTTTCAAAGTGTTCCTTTATTGTTTTAGTAACTCCAGTGACGACATTTCTCTTTCCTAAAATCGAAATAATAAAAATATGCGTCAAATTATATATATATAAAAAAAAAAAGACGAGTTGATATTCATGTCTCGAAGATGAACTTTCGGCAATATTACTCAAACCAGAATAAACTTTTTTCGGTTGGACAAACTAAATTATAGTCTATAGGCAAGAGTTGCACAAATATATTAGAACTGAAAAGAGCAATAAAATGCAGAAAAGTGTGAAGAGGGGGTATTATCAGCCATACCTACAGCGAGAATCGGGATTTTTTTCATCCTGAGAGCCTGCTTTCTTAGAAGAAGCCTCTCTTTGTTCGAAAGCTGCACACTTCTGGAAGGCATTAGTGATGGCCTCTCTTTCATCGGTTTCTGACCCGAGGGTTCTATATCAACATTCCTGTAGCCCCCACCGTCGGATTTCCTTCTTCCAGTTTGAGGCCGGATGTAGGTACTCGGTGAAGAGTTTCTTCTATCTTGCGACTAAATCCACATTCCACAGATTAAATTAGGAATTACTTATTCGTAAAAGAAAATAAATATACGTAGCAGTCGCACATATTTCAGAACTTACCCTGGGACTACGTACAAATTCCATATTTCCAATTTGATTATTTTTGTCCGAAAAACTATTGCCCTCGTTTGATAATGATGTGGGTTGAACCTCTGCTTCTGTTGTTTCAAACAGATAATTGACTTTAACCTCGGACTGTAAGGAAACGTCTCCTGGTAAGTCCTTTTGAGCAATATGTACTGTGTCTTCTGAGATGTGCATGGGTTCCTCTGGATCTTTGTTAGTTGCATCAGTTTCATGGCTTTCTCTAACCTTCAACAATTGAAGGAAAAATGACACGAAGACAAAAGTAAATTTTGTGAAGTATTACACATTGGAAAAAAGAAAATCATAAAAGGCTTCCAGAAAAAAAATGCATAAATCATTCACTTGTACATGGATTAAGAGCCTCAAATAGCAATCACTGGACACTTTACATGAACAACGATAATATGAATAAAGAATACCGTAAGTCGTATCAATTAAATATAAAATACGACTTACAAATCCAAGTTCCAAATCTTCTGTCAAATGCGGACGATTTGTATTTTCATCTTTGGCCTGGCATAAGATATAGCTGTAAGTTACTAGCATGATAAATCAATATATTAATTATTCAGGGGCTGAAAATGTGTAAATCTGAAAAACAGAAAAAAAAAAAACGATATACCATCTTGAGCTTCAATTCGTCAATATTCTTGCTGAGCTTTAAAACATGTAGTTTCAAGGACTGCATCAGACAGAAAGGATGCATAAGACAATGGCTAAGATAAAATGCAGAGAGAGAGAGAGAGACTTAGATAGATCATATAAAACGGTAAAGTATAAATTCCACTGAGATCCTTCAGAATGAATCAAAAGCTAAGTATCTTACTACATACGCAACTATACCTCACGGCGTTGTGCCTCCAATGAACGCTTCATTGCTTCTCTTTTACTTAGAAGTGTCTGAGGCCTCAAAGAAGCAGGGCGAGTATAGTTTTTTCCACGATATACAATGATGTCAAAACCTTTACTAACTCGCTCAACTGCTACTAATATGCCACCACTTTCAGCTTCTAAGGTACGTGCTACTCCATGAACCTCTTCGATGCTCCTATTGCCAATACATACCTTGACAAGCTCCCTGTATTTCCAGTGCAGATGCATGTTTTCAACTGTTCCGTCAAAAACTCCCCGCCGACCTGAAATTTGAGGAGAGATGGTTACACAATACATAAAATTCACTTTGATAATATATTCGGGCGAAATAGTTTCACGCCAAGGAATGACTCTTGCACAGTAAAAGACTAACCCAATAATAGGAAAGCTTTCATCCTCAAACCAACTTTTCTGAGCATGTATCTTTCTTCTTCGGTTATACCCTCTTTATCTGTTTCAGGTGGCTGAGGGCTCTCTTCTTTCGCTAGCTCTTCTAGAAGCTTCTCTGCCCTGGCTTTTTTTTCTAAGGCCTTCAACCAATAGAAAATCGACGTCAGAAAAGCAAAGGAGAGTTGAGAAAAAAATTGGATAACTACGTATATTGATCAATGCCTACCATTGATAACTTGGTGCTTGTTCTCTCCATTGCCGATTCTGAGAACCTCACCCTTCTTTTTTCACGAACTTGCAAGTTTTGGTCAGCTTCATTGTGCTGCTCAGCTTCAGTAGCATATTCTTTGGTTCCGTGTCTATGTTCCTTTTCATTCAAATTTGATAAGTTGCCAGCTCTGGTTTTTGAGGCATCAATCTCATATTTCCTCCGCTCTTGTATAGCTGAAGAGACTGCAGCTGGCAAGAAATCCTTCCCTCGGTAGAGAACAATGAATTCTCTATCCCTTGAAAGTAACGTCCCCCCAGTCAACCACTGCAAGAGTTTACTTTCAAGTACATAGATGTCTCTGAAAACATTTCAGACAATAAACTACTAAATGAATTGCATAGTCAACCCACATGGGGTCAACATATACCAAAAAGCGGAAGATGTAACAGCAGAGAGTAGTGCTCAAATGCATCAGTATGATGAGTAATCATTCCACTAGTCAGACAGTGTCACAAACCTTTAGTTCTTCTGCCATAAGTACACTGTTTGTGTTTTGAACTCCTCTTTTGACAGCAATTTTTGCAATTTCACATTTCTCCCACAGTTTAACAATGCAAGCAGCCAATCCTTGATGTTTCCTATTTCTCCCTGGCGAAAATGAAAATACAATTAAACATCTAGAAAGATTTAAGTACATTGAAGAAATACAAAGATGTTATATAATATATAACTGACTACCAAGAATTTCAAATAACCCTACAGCCAGGATCTCCTAGAGGTCTCAGGTGTATGTCCGCGCGTGTTGTAACTTGTAAGGCCCAAAAACCATTTATGCGAAGAGTAACAACAGATAATAGAGTGGGGAGGAAAAACATGTCTAACTTGATGCAAAATGAACAAGTCTCTATACAGTTATTTCATAATATAGGAGATAGGTGTAACTCAGAGGAAGAATAAGACAACCAACCTAGAGCAAAATGGATCGGTAAAGGCCTGCCAAGTCTCCGTAATGTAGTCATTTCATCATTCGTCAGTTTATGATTAACCCCATATGGAAGTAGGCGAAATGGTCTCTTGTATCCAGGAACTACTGCTGGCAAAAGATCCGCATCAACAGGCAAAGGGTCATTTCCCCACCAATCAGTGAACCGCGGGCCAAGTCCTTCTAGCAACGAGTCTGCTTCGGCAACAATCTCTGCCTCTCCAGGAAGTTGGAAGCGTACTCTATCTGGCAAACCCACCCCTTGCACTAAGGATGGATGAGATATTTGTGTATTGGACTCCAAAGCATTAGTGCGCGGTGACCCTAAATCAGGAGATTCTTCAGAAGACTCCAAAGCATTACTGTGTTGATCATTGTCCATGTCAGGAGATTCCTCCGAAGAAGAGTCGTTTGACGAATTATCGGCCATAAAGTAGGGATACTTGTAATCAGATCCTCTGTAGAGTATTATATTGCTTCCAGATCTCCAAACTACTAGACCTCCAGTTTTTTTCTGAAAACATTCCCAACATTTGGAGTCAGATAGAACATTTTGCACTCAGGTTGCCCAAATGGAAAAATCTAACAATTAAATACAATCAATCTTCTTGATACGGTCCCTAGTATTATTAGTACGCAGATTGGCATGCTGGATAATTTTCAAAAGTGATAATTTCAAATCATATTTAAACTTAACAGATGATACTTTTCCAGCACGTAAATAATTCTCAACATCGTCTTATATATAGCAAGGAATATTGATGATTACTGCTACTTTAGCAAAAAATAAAATCATGCAGTCTTTCAAGTTAAAACCCTTCTAATACTTGCTAGATAAACCAAATCTGAACTCATTTTACATAGTATCGAATTTTAGATAATTTGGTCCCTGTTCATCCTTGAGAAGAGAAGAAATAACCAGATTGCAAAGCAGCATAAGATGTCCAAAGATTTGTCCATAGTCTGTGCTAGATGGGGTTCATCTCTACCCAAAAGTTAACTACTAACGGCTAAAAGGGCCACTTATATGGCGAACGCTCAATTTTAACATGAAAGTTATTATCGACACTCGTGACTTATCACTACACATCACAAACTAGACAATCCTAACACTGGAGGTGGAAATAGTAGATGACAACCTTACATTAGTTCCTACTCATGAACACATAAACAAATGTTCCTTATCCAAGTAGATTGCCCTAATAACTGAGTCACTCAAGACTCGCGACAATAGCATATAAATACCATATAAAACAACTCCTAGCTACCGTGAAGAAAGTTATGGACATTTCTTCACATTGAGAAAATATCTGCCTCCAGTTATCTATAGGGTACATTAACATACAGCTTCAAACTCCCAATCCCATTTATATATTCCAAGTAAATTGTTAAGTTCATTCCTTACTATCCTCTTGTTCTACGTTTATAATCATTGTCAATGCTCTCAAACAGTGATAAGATATAGTGCAATTGAATCAGATTATAAAGTAGAATCGTATATAACCTCCAATAACTCATGAGTCCTCTTCATGTTCAGCCTGCATATATCCTCACACGTAATCTTCACCAGCTCCGTACGCCTCCACCGCTCGTGAATTCCGTTAACAATCCCTTCCGTAATTCCAGCTTTCCCCACCTTCAACTTCTTCTTCAACCCAATTCCGATACTCCTCAGCCTCCTCAGCTCCCCGGGCGGCAACTTCAGCTCCGCCAAACTCGGGGAATTGCCCCTCTTTCCTTCATCGCGCTTCCTAATCCTCTCCTTCTCCTCTTCCTCCAAAACCCCGCGCCTCAATTCATGAAATCTCTGTATGGCGTTCCCAGAACCGGGCTCGGGAACCGGGTTTTCCGGTGTGCTCCAGCTCGGGTCGAGCGTATGCCCGATTCTATACTTGGGCAAATGGGTGGGCAACGGGACAAAAATTTCTCCGGGAGAATTAGGGCCGGGATTTGAGTTCCGAGAGGCGGAATCATTGCCGCTATCTTCCACGTATCCGAGGCTGCGGAGCTTCTCTGCTATTCTCTTAATTGCGGATTGCGGAAGAGTTTGTCTGTCGGCTTCGATGGCAGCGCAAATGGCGGCTCGCCGGCGGAGGGGATTGAACGTGAATTTTGGATAGTGACAAGCTGGAAATTGGGATGAGGGTTTAAGAATGGTTTGGGAAGGGAGAAAGGAGAAATGGCGATTGCAATTGCAGAGAGGAACCAACATTTTTTTTTTTTTTTGCAGAGGTGAACACTGCACAAAAAGTTTTCACTTATCAATTAACGGCTTCTGTTTGTTGTTTATATTGCATCTTAGTCCCTCAAGTTTATTGCCATGCGTAGAAAGACCACTTATTCTTCGAATACTTCGGTTTTCCCCCTACATATATTTCTAATTTCCCAAGCAAACGGCCCCGAAAAACAAAATTCATGATCGTAGCTCATGAATCACGTATGATTTTGGTGATACGACGTTGTTTCGACTCAAAAAAATCGAATTTTACTATTTTATGAAATTCTTATAAAATTCATATCAATTCAAAGAAACATCAGACGAGGATTTCGTCAGTAGTGTTACATCTAAAATTGTGAGATCTACTAGAACTACTAGGATTTCGCATTTTTCATAAAAATTGTGAGATCTACTAGAATTTAACACATTTTCGTATTTTTCTGTAAAATGGTTGTTATATCGGTTGTTTAGGGGTTTTTTTTTATATTAATAGCACGCTACCAACCCTAACCCAATCAAAATGGCACGTTAATTGAAAGAATCATCTTCTGATGTTTCTATGAATTGATATGAATTTTCTAAAACATTCCTAAAATAGCAAAATTTGATTTATATGAGACGAAACGAAGTCGGATCAACAAAATATGGCGCGATTCATGAGCATAGCTCATAAGTTTTGCTCGTCGAGCCGTTTTACGTGGGTTAGGGTTGTCAACGTGGTATTAATACTCAAAAACCCTAAACAACTAGAATAACAACCATTTTGCTGAAGATGCGAAAATGAGTTAAAAAGTAATTCGACTTGTTCGACCCTACACCCGGTGATAAATACCGGGTGAGTCTTCTGCTACCACGTGTCTCTTTTTTATATTTTATAATAGATTCCCCGCTAGGGTTTACCTTTAGGGGTTTTAGAAAAAAAAAAAAAAAAAAGAACACGTGGCAGCAGAAGACCCACCCGGTGTTTATCACCGGGTGTAGGATCGAAGGAACCAAGTAATTCTAATAGATCTCGCAATTTTAGAAGTAACACAACTAACGGAATCCTCGTCTGATGTTTATATGAATTGATATGAATTTATAAGAATTTCCTAAAATAATAAACTTTGATTTTTATGAGTCGAAACGACGCCCGATCATCAAAATTGTAAACATTTCATGTGCTATGATCATGAGCATACGTTTTAAAATAATTGTGTATATTCCTAGCTTACTACGAAGAAAACTAGTAAATATGTACTAATTTAGAAAAGGGTAAATTACAACCAGCCTTGAGGTATGGTCAAATTACGGAAACCTCCTCCTGTTTGGGTAATTACAACCACCTCTTCAACTATAAATCTTCTTACCCGTTTTATCCAATTCGAACTCCACATTTTGAAGGAAGATGATCATAATATGTGTTTTTTGGCTTGTATTTATCAGATTGAGGTGCATCAGAAACTGTATTTTTACACAAAATGAATACAAATTATAGCACATTCCACGAAATCTAGATGATTATGTTGAATTTGACACCATAAGTATGGATGTGTAAAAAAAACATAGTTGAGAGGGATAAGTGTAATTATCCAAACAATAAGGGTTTTTTGTAATTGGTCATACCTCAGGGGTAGTTATAATTTAACCTTCAGTAAAATATATGTTTTCTAAATTACATTTCCAACTAATTGTTACAATATATTAATATTTAGTTTATTATTTAATTATTGATTAAATTAGTATTTAATTATTAATTAATTAGAGTAGTGTGGGCAGTTATATAGTAGCCGTGCGTTTAGAGCTTAGGAATATTAAGTATTCTATTAGTGTAGGTAATTGTATTTCCTTGTTATATTAGGGAATTTCTTCTCTTTAAATAGTTATTTTGTACTAAGGTTTTACTATGCAAAATGATATTTCTTTTAATTTTTCTTACATTTCGTAAAAGAATCTTATGATACCCGCGAGATCGTAAGGTATTGTTTAATAAATCATCATGCCTAATGACGTCGAGCTAACTTTAATTATCCTTTAACTTTCGGCTTAATAGGGGCCCAAATTCTGTATTGGCATAGACCTAAATTTTATTAATTGTGACAGGCCCTTGGTCTATAGGTTTCTCCCATTCAGACCCAAATTTAATTTTTGACAGGCCCTTGGTCTATAGGTTTCTCCCATTTAGGTCCAATTTCAGTAGGTTTATAAAAGCAACTTCAATGCTAGATATAAAAATTGAGATAATATTTTTAATATTGATTTAAAATTTATCTATTTCAACTACGGTTATTAAATTAATTATCTGTTGGAAGTTTGTGGGTGATTTTATTTGTAATTGTCACATGTCAACTTGTGATTGGATGTTTAGATGGTTACGTTTTTAAATAATTCGATTTCCAGCAAGTATATTTACATCTCAAGAGGTGAATTACCAAAATAGAACCATCATTTGATAACTCCATTGGAGTTAAACATTAATAGGGGGAGATATGAGTTACGTGAAAACAGAAATTTTGTATTGCAGCGTGAAAATGAGCTTTCATAAGGGTAGTTTTGGAATTAGAAAAATAAAATTTGAGTGGAATATTAACTAAAAGGGTTTTCTCTAATTATTTTTTGAGAGAGGTTTTACTTAACTACATTTTCTAGATGGGGTTTTTGCTAATTATCCCTTTAAATAAATATAACATTAAACCTAAAGTGTTTTAAATTGTTTGATACATTTTATATATGAATTTCAAACAAGTATATAATATGGGATGTGATAAATGTGGTTCGAGCTTTAATAATACCGTTTCTATTTCAAACGTGATTTTGATCATTTTTAATTCCAAATTTCGCAAAACTCGAAAAATAGAATTTGTAGTATTCTGAGTTAGTTTTCTAATCCAACTTGAATCATCAAAATTGGATGTCGGACGAGAAAGATATACATGAATCAATGGATACTGCCCACAATTTTGATGTATTGATGTATCTAAAATTCAAAATGCGACTCATTCATGCATAACTTTGTCACACGGCATCCAATCTAGCGGATTTATGTTGGATTAGAAAGCTAACCCAAAGGACTACAATTTTCGTGTTTCGAATTTTGTGAAAATCAAAATAGAAATATGTCAAAATCAGGTCGAAGTCAAAACGACATTAGTAAAATTGAAACGACATTTAACATTTCAGATATAATATTAATTTGTGAGTATGAATTTTTAAGAATGTACATTAATATCCTTCCATATGAAGGTTTATTAGGTTGGAAGAATGGTTGGGTGAAATCGGTATAAATAATTATTTTCGGAAACAATAATTTGGTGGAATAGGTGTCAATAATTAATACATAGTATACTATAAACCGGATAATAAATAGGTATGCATAACTAATTTCCCTTTTCATGTGAACAATGATTTGGTGAAATAGGTATGGAAAATCAATTTGTGGAAACCAGTGATTTGTGAAATATGCAATGATTATTATTTTTTTGGAAACAATATGTATAAATAATTTCCTTTCATATGAACAATTATTTTGTTAAATAGGTACAAATAATTGATCTGTGAAAGCTGGGATTTGGTGAGAAATATGTATCAATAGTCAAATTTGGGAAACAATGATTTGACGATGATAAATACTAAAGGGACTTGCTTTTTACGGTTTGAAAATTGTTATTTACCATTCAAGGCAGCTGAATTAAACGCCCAAGGCAGCCGCCCACGAACGAGTGTTCGTACACGCCGTGGGCGTCCGTCTTGGGCGTTCGTGGGTGTATTTTCGAATTTTTTTTTTTTTTTTGCTATTTGCAGTTTGGGAGTTTTTGGGTTTTTTTTGGGAGGTTTTGAGATTTTAGAGATAAAAGATTTTTTGTTATAAACGGTAAATAGCAATTTTCAAACCGTAAAAAACATTTCACATATTAAACAAGTACGTGTAATGAACTCTCTTTCATATGAATAATGATTCGGTGATTTAAATTGCAAAATATTTACATTGTGTCATATTAAATGTGATTACTTTTGTCAATAACATCTACAATTTTATTTTTATTTAGATAAATAACATCTACATTTTTTAGAAGTAAATAACATCTACATTTTTTAGAAGTAAATAACATCTACAATTTAACAATATTCAAATTCAATTTTATAGTATTTAAGATATAAAACGAATTGATTAAAAAAATTAAAAAAAATTAAGAGAGAGATAGAAACTGTATTTTTCTTCTTTTTTTTTCTTTTTTTTTTTTAACAATAATTAATGTTTTTCAAAATTAAAAGAAATTCCATGTAATATGAGGACTTGGATTCTTCTATTTGCTATAGTTATAAGCCCAAATGAAGTCCAGGTTCAACCTATTTAGGGCTTTAACAAATTGACTGGATTATATAATTATAAGGCCGAGACGTCAGCCCATTTTGGAAAATTTCATTTTCCTCCCTGTAATTTGGTCCGATATCACTTTACCCCCTTCTACTTTAGTTAGGTATAACTTCAGCCCATGTAATGAACTCTCTTTCATATTAAATTGTAGTGATATTACAATATATTTGATTCTATCTTTTTAAGACCAATATCTAAATCTAATTATTTCTATTTAGTTAATTTTCTTAGAACAGTCAAGTCAAAAGTCAACAAAGCAGACTTCCCAAATCAGAGCAGGATTTACGTAATTAAATATGCATATTTGTGTATGTATTATATGGATGCATAAATACATGTATCAAATTTATTCGAATTGATGTAGCAGATCAGATTACGATTAAATCTTACTACATCTGTAACCAAATCCTAAGGGCTCTAATAAGTCTATAAAGTTGTGTAAGAATTACATAATGATTTAACAAAAAAAAATAAAAAAAAAATGTTTTGTTCTTATAATACATCTATAATGTCATTAGTTGTTTTGTTTTTTATCTTATGTGGTTTAAATTTAAAAGTGAATGGAGATGAAGAATATGGAGGCTTGACCTTTGACTTTTACAATAAAACATGTCCGCAACTTGAAAAAATCGTCGAAGATGCAATTTCTTCGATGTCGAAAGAAGATCCTAGAACCCCTGCTGCTTTATTGAGGCTATTGTTTAACGATTGTGTGGTTATGGTAAATATAAAATCCCTCCCTTGTTAAAAGAAAATTCAAAATTTTTTTTGAGAAGATTATTATTGATCACTAATTCTTTGTGAATCGTAACTAATTTTAGGGTTGTGACGCTTCGATCCTTCTTGATTTGAAAGACAGGAGCAAATCAGAAATGGGGTCGTTTAGTAATTTCGGTATCAAGAAAAGGGAGTTAATTGGGCAAATAAAATCAATGGTGGATAAAGTTTGTCCTAAACAGGTTTCGTGTGCTGATATTCTAGTCCTCGCGGCTCGAGAATCTGTAGCTATTTCTCAAGGGCCGAGAATTCGAGTCCCACTTGGACGAAGGGATTCAACCGTTGCATATACCAATTTTGATGCAGATACCCACTTGCCTCAGGTCGATAGTTTTCTTGGTTATTCGTTAGGTAAACTAAGAGACCTCGGTGGCGGAATGACCGACGAGGAAGTTGTTGCACTATTAGGTAATCGATCGATCGTAGTTTTATTTATTTAATATTGAAGTTACACTACATATATAATTAATTAACGTATTAATATTGTGATTGTAGGTGCACATACACTTGGTACTTCTAGTTGCGCAACAATTCAATATCGTGTAGACTTTCCGGGCATCATAGAAACTGATACAAATTTTGTGAACAAGTTACGGAAAACTTGCCCCAAGGGGGCTTTATCCAACTACAATACATCCCTAGCTAATGATCGTACACCTTATAAATTTGACAACGACTATTATTCGGCTTCGTTTGGAGGAAGAAGTCTATTGGTGATTGATGCAACATTAACTCAAGATCAAAGAACCGTTGAACAAGCTGGGAGATTCGTTACCGACCAAGCATATTTCTTTAAAATGTTTTCGTCTGCCTTTGTTAAGCTTTCTGTCACACAAGTTCTTACCGGAAACGATGGAGAAATTAGAAACCAATGTAATAAGTTGAATCGAGCTAATTGAAGAGTGTAGTAAACTCTGTTTTTAATAAAAAAATAAAATTACCTATGAAATAATAATTATCTTTTTTTTTAAATGAAATTAATAATGGATACAGGATACAAGAAATAATAATAATCAAAATTGCCAAAAACACAAAAAGAAACAAAAGCAAAGAAATTAATAATGGAGCTATAGAAAAGAAAAAGAATGGATACAGGATACAAGAAATAATAATTATCAAAATTGCCAAAAACACAAAAATAAACAAACGGAAAGAAATTAATAAGGGAGCTATAATTACTGGATACTGGATACAAGAAATAATAATTATCAAAATTGCCAAAAACACAAAAATAAACAAATAGAAAGAAATTAATAATGAAGCTATAGAAAAGAAAAAGAACGGATACAGGATACAAGAAATAATAATTATCAAAATTGCCAAAAACACAAAAATAAACAAAAAGAAAGAAATTAATAATGGTGCTATAGAAAAGAAAAATAATGGATACAGGATATAAGAAATAATAATGATCAAAATTGCCCAAAACACAAAAATAAACAAACAGAAAGAAATTAATAATGGAGCTATAATTAATGGATACTGGATACAAGAAATAATTATTATCAAAATTGCTAAAAACACAAAAATAAACAAACAGAAAGAAATTAATAATGGAGCTATAGAAAAGAAAAAGAATGGATACAGGATACAAGAAATAATAATTATCAAAATTGCCAAAAACACAAAAATAAACAAAAAGAAAGAAATTAATAATGGGATAGATATTAATGGTCTAATTAATATCCTATATATATATATATATATATATATATATATATATATATATATATATATATATATATATATATATATATATATATATATATATATATATATATATATATCTTAAGAGGCGTACTTAATTGTTTCTCAAAAAAAAAAAGAGGCGTACTTAATTACACCGCGGGAAATATGGCCGTATTAGCATTTGTGCTTATTTTCGCCATTGCCACCGCCACCGCCACCGCCACCGCCTCTCCCGCCTACACCTCCACCACCGACCCCAAAGAGTTGGCCGCTGCCGCCGCTGCCGCTCGGGCACTGGTCAACGCCAGTTCTTGGGGCGTTGTGAGGTAATATAAAAAATTTCAAAATTGAATTCATAAATATTAATTCTAATTATCTTTCTAATCTCATTGCATGCAGTAGCATAAACTACCTAGAGAAGAGCAGCCCATTCGGGAATGCGCTGTCATACAGCGACGGGGGCTCAGGGACCCCCTATTTCTATCTCACCCTGCTGGATATGGCCACGGCCAATTTCAGCAGGGCAGACGCCCGGAGCTCCCTCAGCCTGAGCGAGTACGCACTTGGCACGTGCGGTACTCTTGACCCCCAGGAGCCCACTTGCGTGAAAGTCACGCTTTCCGGGGTCGTAAGTATCTTTCTCTCGCACTCACAGTACTGTTTTTATTTAATTTTTTATTTATTTTTCACAAATTTATAAAAACTGATATATATATATTCTCTTTTTTTGTTGTCAGCTTAAGAAGCTGGATCAGGAATCCGAAGAGGGCAAATTTGCTAACGCCACACTCTTCGAGAGGCACCCCCGTTTCAAATGTGAGTGCCTGCATGCACTTTTCTTATAATTTAACACATTTAATTAATATACTTGAAAATTTGTATTTATTATTATTTTTTTTTCCTTTTTGCAGTTCTTCCCCCAGTTGCTAAGTTCCAGTTGTACAAACTGGAAATTAAATCGGTTTTTGTATTAAATGGTTATGGGGAACCCAAATTCCCCAGTGTAAAAATGTACCGTAAAATAAAATTAGTTGAATGATATCTCTTTTTCTTTTATGCAAGTTTTAATTAATATTCAAATGACTAATTTATTCACTGAACACTTATTCCGGCGACTATATATGGAAGATCACCACCACCACCACTCCCGCCCCGCTCCGCCGTACCCAGCGCCGCAACCCCAACTCCACGCACATACCCCCTCTTCACGTACCCCATCCAAACACCGATTTTCTCTATCCAAATCCTCCGCCTCAGCCGGCGGCGCGTCGTCCTACTCCTTCCTCCGTTCGCTCTACTCACTCCTCCCCTTCCTACGCGCTTCCCCTCCATCTTTCTCCATATTACCTTTCTCCTTTCTCGTATCTCTCATGTCTTTACTTGCGTCGGTAAAAATCGGAACTTTATCGGTCGAAATCCGATTGGAATATTGGATCATCAAAGGTGCGTGGGTTTATTGCGTTAACGTTCTGTGCTGCTCTTTTTTTCTTTTTTCGCGTCAAATAATAAAAATACTAATTTGATTTAGTTTTTTTTCCCAATTTTGGTCAACATCTTTTTTTTTTTTTTTTTTTAATTTTATTTTCCGAAGACAATAAATTTGGGAGCAACAACTTCTTTTCCAGATTAAAAAAAAAATGTCAGCTACGTGATAGTATGAATGTTCTTTTTTTTTTTTTTTTGATATTTTGTTCGTTGTTAAGGGCTTTGTTGTTAGTAGGAAAAAAAATTCGACGATATGTGATAGTCTGCGATGGCAGCACAATTTTTTTGTGTTTGCTGTTGGTCTTCATTTTATTGCTTTATTTGTAAGTTTGTTGGCTGATTTTAGAAATACACATTTGAGTTTAAAATTATTTTAAAAAGAAGTTTGTCTGTGATTTTGTATGGTTTATTCCATCATCAAATTGTTATATTATTTCATAGTCACCTATCTTGCAATTATACCAAAGCCTCTATTTTCTTCTTATTGTCCTGTTGCAGAAATAACATTTCATTTCAATGGATAATCAAACAAACACTTTTTGTAGTTTAATGTCATCTATCCCAACTACATTTGCTTTTTTTTTTTTTTTTCTTTTCTTTTGAAAATGTTGTTCATAAATTAAACTTGCAATTACTTAAATTTTATTTTATTTTAATATGAAAATATTTTTTAGTTAAATTATTATTATTGATTTCATTTAGTCTACTGTTAATCATTTCATTCATGTATAACTTTAAATTTGCTTATTATTTTACAAAACTAATTCCAATTTTTCACTTATTGAACTGTTACAATTTCAATATCTTGACTATCTTCGGATGAATGGGTTATGATAAATTACTTTCCAAATTAATGAGTTAATTTGTCCCATTTTTCACTAAATATTGATCTATACATTTTTATTTACAACTTTAAATCAGCTTATTATTGTGTACGACTAATTTTATGGGATATTTCAGATATGTAAAAGAAATGTTGGGTTCAACTTTCACTATTTTGGATGAAAGATTTAAGAGAGTATTTTTTTTTTTTAAGTTGATACATGAGAACCTCAATAGATTAATACTCATAATTCATCTCACTGATTATATTTTGTAGTTCTTTGGAACTTTCATCATCTAAAGGTTCGTTCATAAAAATATTAAAATGTGTACTTAAAAAAATAAATTCATAAATTAATAATTTATTAGTTAATATATAAAGTAATAATAATTATTTTTTAATAATTTAATATTCCACTAAATTAATAGATTTTTTGTGGTCCCACATATGCAATTTGTAGAGGTCTAACTGTACAGTGGATCTATCTGATTTTGTTAAGTTATATTTGTTTTTTTTTTCCTTCATGTTTTACATTTCAAATTCTTCAGATAACTATTCATGGTTAATAACTTAATTGTATATTTTTTTATTTTTAATATTTTATTTTTTGCTTATCTTATGAGAGACGTGTCTTAGGAAAGGATTTGAAGATACTAATAGTTGATAAAGAGGGAAATACTTCCAACTGTATAATAAATGTGCTTATAAATAAGTAATCCAAAATATATGGTAACTAATTTTGTATGTTTTTACACATTATTTATTTTGTGGCACTTAATTTTCAGATCATTTAACACATTTTAAATTATTTTGCAGCATATGAAGGTGATTTAATTTTGTTAACATAGTGCCGTTAAGTTATAATTTCCGCATGAAGAACTGTAATTCTTTCACCAAAGTTTTTTTCATTTATGTCCTCTCAAGAATATATTTATCTACAACAATTTGTGTTTGTTTATATTTTTTGTTGTTAAGTTATTTGTTCTTTTACATTTTTCCGTTTCGATATGCTATAGTATTTATTTGTTTATATTTATTGTTTGGAGTTCTCTGTAAAACAAATGGTATCCGTTTTATCTCCTTCATTCTTTGATCATTTTCAGATGCGAACCTATGTTTGGAGAAAACGAATATGTTGTTTCATAGTAGACATTTAATTTGATACATGCATGTATATGTTAAACATTATCTTACACTATACATATGTGACGCGTGCTCTTTTTCCAACAGTTACTACAGTAACGTCATTTTGCTATTAACATTCTTTTTAGTATACCCATTTTTCATGTCATATATCTAAACAGCCTCCTCCGGAACACCACTATGTAAATTTATTACATTAACATGATCATGTACACCAGTAATACAGTTTTCATACATTACATATAGTACAAATGCTGAATAAAGAGTGTGAATACAACATTCTTTTTTATTCACAATTAGATTATTTGCATGTTGTCTCCAGTCAACTGGCTGGAGAGTGAGGTTGATATCAACATGATCATGGTATCTCGACTATCGACAAATATACGTGAACATGCAGAAGAGTCGAACTACGTTCATTGTTCAGGCAGTTGTATCCGCAATGAATGTAAGTATCTTCCTGTTAGATGATTAGAGTTCATGATTGTTACGTACTAAAAACAGATGAATCAAGAGGCAAATAACCGACAAATTTTTATTTCATTTTTAAGTAATTATTACACCAAGTTCCGGATAACTAATTACAGCGACTAATATTGTTCGGACTCACATTTTGGCTTGGAGGTACTGATCCACCGTGATAGGCTTCGGACCACCGTACCAGTTGATCATGAATATATTTTCAATCTCCAATTTGAAGACCTGAAATTTGTGGCTTTTCGGCCAAGCTGCAAATGTTTCTAAAGTCAAACCAAATTTTGTACTAGCATTGAAAAATTGCGTCACGCAATGGCAAAACTGTGAATATCTAGTGAAATGTTTGCTTACTTTTCATCTCAGGGTGCTTTGTGAATAGTGCGGTCCGAGCCACCTCAGCTTCATCGGAACTTCCATCTATTTGTTTCAACTGAAACTCCAACAATTATGAAGCATTAGTTATATATATGTACTCATTAGAGGTGGAAATTTCCGAATTTGGAACAATATTTTTCATTCCGAGTTTCGCTTTCCGAATTTTTCCGGTTTCATTGGAACGAAATTGAAATACATATTATATTCCGATTTTCGATCCGACTTTAATTTCAGAAACTTTTTCCAAAATTTCCAATTTATTTCCGAAAATTACGCTTATAATATCAATTATTATGTATTTTATATTGTAGGTGGCTAAGAAACTGAAAATTGCAAATTCCGTCGATTCCGATCCAAGTTTTTTTTTTTTTGAACATGTTTTTTCATTCCAATTCTCCGAAATTCCGATTTTTTCATTTTTTTTAACAGAATTTTATTTAGTTTTTCACTTTCAAAAAAATTGGATTGTTTTCCGAAAGGGGTATATCCAATCCAATTCGTCCGACTTCCACCACTAACACTCATTTTTCAGTTATGTCCTTTCTAAAATCCAGAGATCTAAAAATTTTAACATCTGAAGTTAAGCTGAATTCTAAGACGAGGCAGTGTTTGTAGGACAAAATCTAAATTTAGCAGATCCTAATGTAGATTTTAGTAAAGCAAAGTAAAAAATAACGAAAACTACCTTCCCAACGAGCGTAATTTTCGAACAAGTGGGGTTTTCAGGATCTGCTTTCCCACAAGTTCCGAGATTATATTCGCTTATAGTAAACGAAGATCTGTTATCTTTCAAAGCATTAGATGCAGTTGGATCAAGTTCCGTGAGGTAAAAATAGGGAACGCCTTTCCCTTTCTCAGGTAAGCCGTCGCTAAACGAAACCACGTTCCTGCACATTTTTCGAAATCAATTCATAATTCTCGAAAAAATCTTAAAATAAATTGTCTGAAATAACCAATCAATGTGGTAAGGACTCGAGATTTACGACATACCCGAACGGCGCACCTCCCCACTCACTTGATATTGTGCTGCAACATCAAACAGATTACAATAATTACATCAGCTTCAGCTACAAAACTTGACTTAGTCAAAATTGAATTAGAATATAAAGCATCCAAATATGTGACACAGTAAACTCGAATTATTAATCAGAAATAGAATACATGGAAGATAATTCCAAAAGCATTAAAAAAAACACATCGATTAGTTTTATTTATTTACAATTAACAAAATTAAGGGTAAAGGGGAAAGCAATTAATTACTTGAGGACACCCCATGAACTCTGAGAAACCAACCACCGAGCAAACGGCGCCGCATCGCCACGGCGAGGCCTCGCCGCCGGTAATGACGTCAGCAACGGGCGGCCATGTACGGATCCTTGCAAAAATCCCAACAGAAAAAACGATGCTAAGACAGAGCAATAAACGAACCCTCTGATTTTCATGTTTTCTGCTCTTCTAGAGAAAATTGAAAGACTACAGTTGACTTGGCCGTGTCATCGATAAATATATATATATGTAGGAAATTCCCCTTTTTCTTTTTTTTTTTTTTTTTTCTTTTTTGCCCTTTTTCGTTATAGATAATTCATTTTCTTTTAATTGGAAATTCATTTTAAAGTTATTAAAATGAATTTTGCCGCCGTATGTTCCGGGGAATTATTCTCTTTCTGATTATGCTTCATAAAATTTAGGGTAAATTACAACGACCCCTTGAGGTATGGATAAATTATGAAACAATCCCTCATGTTTGGATAATTACATCTATCCTTCAACTATGAATTTTCTTACTTCTTCACTCTTATGGTATCAAATTATACATAATCATCTAGATTCTTTGGAGTGTTCTCTAGTTTGTCTTGTTTTGTGCAAAAATACAGTTTCTGATGTACCACAATCTGATATATACAAGCCAAAAAACAGATATTATGATTATCTAGCTTTAAATGTGGAGCTCGAATAGGATAACACACGTCCAAAATTAAGAATATTCCATATAATCTAAAAGATTCCACTAATTTTGAAACCACAAGGGTAGTTGAGTAAGAAGATTTATAGTTGACGAGTGATTGTAATTGCGGAAATAGGAGTGTTTTTATAATTTGACCGTACTTCAAGAATCGTTGTAATTTATCCAAATATTTTTAAAATAATACATTGGGTTCTTTGAAGCAACAAAATTTTATTGATTTAGTGAATTATTAAATTATTGGGACTAATATTTTAATATTCTTTTACCTAAAAAAAGGATCAAAAAGTGTAATGAGAAGCTCGGCTATTAACATAAAGTGGGGCCCATCAAGCATGGCTTTAGACGTTTTTTCAGTTCTATCTTATCTTTTTGTCACGTGTACAATCCTTCCGTAGATTTATACTAAAATGAGTTAAATGCAAAAAACCCCCCTTTGTTAATCTTAAAAACCCCCGGATAAAAAAAGTGACAAAAACCCCCCTAATAAGTGTACAAACATGCACACTCGACCCATTTTATTTTTATCCGTTGACTGCTCGTGAAAAGACGAATAAATCCTCAGATAAATATGTCCAACATCTAAAATTTTATGACCCAAATGAAGTTTATAAAATTTTCAATTCAGTCCCTAATATTTTCAATTAAGCCATCTTCCCCAAATGAAAAAAACACACAGACACACAAATACACACACTTTGATTTTAATTTCTCTGCGCACCTCACCCCACCCCACCACTGCCATCGCCGGCTCCGTTCATGGACCGAAACCCCTCTCCGGCAACCAACCAAGCAGCCACATCACCGTACGGATGCATCCACGTATCATCTTCTCCGGCAACAAACTCCCTCTCAACTCAAAATTTCTTACGAAATTATTTCAATAAAAATAAAAATCCAAAATTTCTTCGTTTCCCCAAAACTGGAGTTATACTCCAGTTACACATTCTCGTTTGCCATTGCCGTGGTTATGGAAGGTGGGTAGTTTTTATCTATTTAAATATATTTTTTATTTTTTCATTTTATTTTATTTGTTTAGGTGGGTGGGTGGCAGGGGTGGAGTGGTGGCAGTTTGGGTAGCAGGGGAGGGGTGGGGCAGTATGATATTTTCATTTTTTATTTCTTTTTAAATTATTTAAATATAATTTATATATATATATTTTTTTTTAATTTAAATATTATTACAAATTCATCAGTAGTTTAATTGTTTTATGAGTGTAGAATCAGAGGGGTAAATTTGTCTTTTCACGCACAAAATGTATAAAAATCGCATAAGTAGTCGCACACCCAGTGAGTGAATGACACGCAGCAAGATTAGGGGGTGCATGGCTTTGACTAATGATTACAGGGGGATTTTTGCAACTTTTTTTATCCTAGGGGGTTTTTTGGTCTTTAGAATTAACACAGGGGTTGTTTTTGCATTTAACTCATACTAAAATTAAGAGCTATTTATTTATACGAGTAAAGTGCAAATACTACCTCTATGTTATCTTGAAATAGCAAAAACCCCCCTGTGATAAATAAACTAGTAAAAAACCCCCTGTGAAATTTAGTCAAAGGCAGAATCCCCCCTAACTGATTTTTTAGACTTGAAATGACAACATTGTCCCTCAAATTGTATTTATATATATACATATTATATGTGTATTTATTCTTTTTAATTTGTTTGTTTAGAAATTAAAAAATATATAAAACAACTAAATTGATTATTTTTTAAATAAAATAATTAAAATATTTATAAAATATAAGAATTTATTAATTGCAAGACTGTGGTATTTGTGTCTTTTTATATCAAATCAACCCTCAAATAGTTCCATAGGGGGGTTTATGCTATTTAAATAATTTCATAGGGGAGGTTTTTGCTAGTTTATTTATCACAGTGGGGTTTTTGCTATTTCGAGATTACACAGGGGTAGTTTTTGCAGTTTACTCTTATTTATATATATGATTAAAAATTAATATGTGTTCGGGCCCTTAATTAAATTTAATTGAGCCCAAATACACTTGAACCTGTATAATTGGGCTAAATTTTAATTAATTTAATTGGGCCCAAATAAACTCGAACCTGTATAATTGGACTAAATCTAATTAATTTAATTGGGCCCAAATAAACTTGAACCTGTCTAATTGGGCTTTAATTTATTATTGAACTTATAAATTTTGGGGTAGAACGGAGGCCCATCAATTATATATATATATATTTTAGTAATTCTATTGAAACTGTGACATAATAAACACACATTAAGAGAAAAATCAAATCAAATAATAATGACATTATATCGATCATAGAAAGTAATATTTATACTTAGATGCAACCAAATAATTAAAAAATCAATTAATTTATTATCTAATATTTAATTTTCTATATAATCCCAGGCATAATGAATTAAACGATCTCCAACATGATGACACTCTTTAACTACAAGAATCACAATTAAATTCATTAGACTAATTTTGAATAAAAAAAATTCATTAATGTTATAAAAACATTTTCCGAGTAAGTAAATAAATAAAAAGTGTAACGGTTTGGTATTAGGCTATTAGCCGTTAGTCCGTTACTACATATGATCGACATAATCGCGAGGCTTTTAATTCCCTAGATATTTTGCCGAAAAATATTAATTTTCACTATATTTAGTAATTGTCTCTCCTTATAAATATTCATCAAGTGTGTCAAAACATGTTTCATAACCTAGTATTACATTACAAATTATTACACGACCAAAAACATGGATCTAAAAATAGTTTTAGCCATAGTCTTATTTCTTTCTCCGTTCGGAATTGAAGGATTGCCTAATGGCCTGTCGTTTGACTATTACAGTAAAAGTTGTCCGCAGGTCGAAAAAATCGTTAGGGATGCAATGAATTCCAAGGTTGCATCCGATCCAAAAACTCCTGCAGCTATTCTAAGACTCGTGTTTCACGATTGCCAAGTCGGGGTATGTATACATATCATCGATAATCATGTATATATATTTGAATGATATTTCTTTCTTTAAATTTATTAATTATATTGTTTTGATTGGTATATTTTTTTTAGGGTTGCGATGGTTCTGTCCTTCTCAATATAAACGACAAAAAACATGATGCGGAATTTGACTCGCCCAAGAATTTTGGAATAAGAAATAGAGAATTGATAGACGAAATTAAAACCAAGATCGAAAAAGTTTGCCCACAAAAAGTTTCGTGTGCTGACACTTTGGTGTTAGCAGCTCGAGATGGTGTGGCTATAGCCGGAGGGCCTACGATCAAAGTCCCATTAGGGCGAAAAGACACAACTACCCCTCATACCCGAGAAGAAGCCGATAAAGGACTCCCGAGGAACAATGTGGATCTTACTAAAGCCTTGCAGGTGTTTTTCCAAGAAGTTGGAATTACTTTGGAAGAAGTTGTCGCTATTATCGGTAAATCGATTAAGTGAAATTATCATAGTATTTATATTAAATATTAAACAATAAGTAAAATATTTTATGTATGTATTTTTTTCATGTATAATTAATTTTAAAATATCAAAATTATTGGTTTAATTTGCAGGTGCACACACACTTGGGAAGACTCATTGTGATGGTTTAAAGGAAAGATTATATCTCAATAGCACAAAATTACCTCCGGGAAACGAAGCCGAATTCGTAAAGTATTTAAAGAAAACTTGTCCGGAGGGAGGTCCAAACCAATTTACGACAACCTTAGATCTCGACCCAACTCCTCAATCCTTCGACAACAAGTACTACGTAAACGTGCTCAATGGACATGGATTAATTTCGCTCGATGCAGAAATAGCAAGGGATCCTCGAAGTATCGATATTGTCAAGAAATTTGCTCACGATCAAGACGCGTTTTTCAAGGTTTTCTCGTCGGCTTTTGTGAAGATTTCGACGCTCGCGGTTTTGACGGGAGATAAAGGAATCGTGAGGAAGAAATGTAGTGTGTTGAATTGATTGCATGGCATTGCATGCATGGAATTTATTAGCAAGAGGTTTTATGGATTTTATTAAATAAATAGATTATATGGTTATTCAATATAATCAAGTTAATTTGGTTGAAAATTGTTTGCTATTGCTCCTAAAATTCATCGATCGACGTGTTATTGTTTACATATATATTTTGGTTTTCTTGAGATGTCGAATTTCACTTTAGAAAATTGTGACGTTAATTCGTCTATTTTATTTAATAATACTATTAATCATGCCCGTGCGTTGCACGAGATCGCATTCTACAAAAGAAAAAAAAATAATCATTTAAACAAATGATAGTCCAAATTGTAATAAAAAATCTATCAAATAATATTAAAATATATCTGTAAAATTCAATTTACACTATTATTATTGTAGCATATATTTTTTCATCCTACAATCGATATATATATATATATATATATATATATATATATATATATATATATATATATAAACTATATGTTAAATAATAAGTAATACAAACTTAGCAAAGGGGACGGCAATTTCAAATACCAAATGTTTTTCATTTCAATACTGCCTAAATAATAAATAGGTAATGACATTTATACCTTTAATGATAACCTATATCACACAAACATAAAAAATCAAAAAAAAAAAAAAAATTAGAAACACGGTAATAAGAAAATATTACCATTTAAATATTAGATGTTCTTAAATTAGAGATTCATTAATTTACAAAATTGCCCCTAAGTTTAAGTCTAGGTATTACTTCACAACATCTTTGATCTTTCTTTTATATATAACATTAGACCAAAATTTGCTGATGACAGCTATTTTTTTTTTACTTGTAACAATTAGAATCCTAATCAAATTATATTGAGGTTATTAATTTGCCAAATTCAATATTGTTAGTCAATAATTGGTGTCTATATTTCATTATTATTGTTAACATAAATTGTGTAGACATATGGTAAGAGAAAATATATGTAGGACTTTTTCATTATGTCCCAATAAATAAATAAATATATATAACTAATTATAATTATAAATTATTTATGAAATAATATCATCCTCCTTTTAATTTGAATCATTATTCATTCTCGAAATTTCCCGCTTAGAGAAATAAGTATGAATTTGCACGTGTAATCACGTAATATGTACGAGATTTGCACGCAATTTACTCTTGATTTGCACGCAATTGCAGGGGAATTTGGTCGAGAAAAGTTATTGAATTATCCTTATTTTTATCGGCTGATATTTTCTCATTAACTTCTTACATTAATAAGAGAGAAAGGAAACAAGTAAAAATATAAATAATTTCTAAGTTTGGTTGTAGATTGGTCTAACAACGTCAAAAACATATAAGGGTGTTGAAGCTACAAACGTCCTCGAAAGCTTCTAACGCTATTACCGTTGCCCTTGTCGCCAGCGCTGCTGCTGTTTGAGGTGTCGTGAGCAGTTTGAACTACAAGAACGGAAATTCCCCCTTCGAGAATATCCTTTCTTATAGCGACGGCGGAAGGGGAACTCCCTACTTCTACCTCACAATTCTTGACGGCACCACCGTTAATTTCAGTGGTGTCGGGGCAAGAAGTTCATTGACATTGGGGCATGCAGTTTGCTCAAGAACCTTCCTGCACCAAAGTTACACCCCAGGAACTCGGCAACAAGCTTCCTGGCATCCTCAAAATCTTTTCTACCGGGT